TGAATCTCGATAATGTTTTATTATAAATAATATTAGTTCTTCAAATGATCACTTTCTCTATAAATGACAATGAAGAATTAGAAATTACGTTTTTGTAATTCAATTCTTACCTAATCTTTTTATATTCGAAAGGTTGTAAATTAATCGATTATATATACGCATGAAAAAAAAAATGTAAAATGTAAAAACTCGAAAATTTAGTAATAAAAACATGTTTTAAAACCACAGTTGTACATTTTATATTTATGTTTGATACATTATACTGACAAGTTTATTCAAAATGTTTAAAAAATTTAATAAAAATTTTTATTTGATTCATATTATAACAATTTTAAATATCTAAGAATAAATATTGTTACCTTTATGTAAATTCTATTATGCAATTCATTCAAATTATTTTAGAAGTAATTTAAAATATGAAATTTAATATTAATATTAAAGGATCTTATCGCACAGAGGATTTTATTAAAATATTAATCTAAGTTTTAACAATTGTATGATCGAATTTAATTGAATATTCAACATTGTGTGTATTCAGAAATAATAGTTAATTAGATAATAATTCTTTTATACATAGTTGCCGTGTCGCAGTGGCCCACAAACCACACACTCTCGTATGAACGAAGAAAGAAACAAAAAATGCCTGGTACAAATTTCTCGCTACCGTTTCTCTCTTGTAATATCCAGTCTGACTAAGATACTCCAAAATGTTACTGAAATGGTACCATGTCCTGGAAGTCAACGCATTTTCCACAGTTCTGACCAAGATCGGCATTGCTATGAATCTATTATCATTGTTTTGGACACTTTGGAAAAGTGTCTTGCAAATCAACCAAAAGATACAGTTAAATTTGACGAAGCTATGAATGTAAAGTTTCTGCTTAGAGAAATATGCCAATTTATAGGTACAAAAGTTTTAGATATAGTTGCTCTAATTTTGCATTGGTATAAAATTGAAGATCATAATAATTTTACTACTTGCAGATATTCCAAATGATAGTGCTCAAAATACTCATTTAAAAAATTTGGCAAGCAAAGTATTGTTTGCATTGAGCTTAAACTTTTTCAATGCTGTGTTTAACAGAATATCAGCTAGACTTCAAGAATTAGCAAAATGTGGCGATGAAAATGTTGATTACAGTGATATTGAACTAATTCAACATATTAATGTGGATGTTCATAGACTAATAAAACTATTAAATGGTAAGTTCATCTCTTTTAAAAATATTAAAATGAGTATTTATAAAAATATTAAAATGTGGTACTAGTACAATAATGGTATGAATAAGACATAACTAATTAACAAATTCTATTTTATATTAATTAATTATTTCTTATTTGCTATTTTTTATGGTTAAAACTTGTTTATGTTGTTAACTATTTCAATATTCATAATAAAAGAACAACTTACACTTATCTAATTACTTATTATTTTTCATCATTCAAAAGCTTAGCAAGTCGAATTAATATTTGCTTTATAAATGTATTCAATCTTTATTTCTCTTATCAGTAATATCACATAGTCTATTTACTGTTTTCAAATCCTTTATTATTGCAGAAACTATTAAAAAATTTAAGCAACTGAAAAAATCAGCGCACATTGTTCTTATGAATTCATTGGAAAAAGCAATTTGGAACTGGATGGATACTTATCCACATGAATTTGCTGATATTCAAAAAAAGCCTACTGAAGATCTTGGAAAAGCATGTGAAGAATTGTTTGACATTCTTGACACATTTGCAGACAATAAAAAAGGAAGAGCTGCAGCCGTTTGGCCTCTACAAATTATGCTTCTGATACTTTCACCAAAAGTTTTAGAGGAAATAGTTAATGCTGATTCTGGTGCCCCTTGTGTGGCAAAACATATGAAAAAAAAGCAATTTATTGAAATGGTTAAAAGGGGTCTAGGAATGCATGGTAGCTCTAGCAGACAAATAGTAGAAGCTGCAGCAGTCACCTGTATTAAACTTTGTAAAGCGTCAACATACATAAACAATCTAGATTCGAAGAACGTCATCTTCACGCTTGTTCAACATGTAATTAATGATTTAATGGCACTACTTTTTAGTCCGGGAAAGCTATTCTCTCGTGGCCAAAGCTACGTTGCCCAAGACATCGACCTAATGATAGACTGTTTTGTTAGCTGTTTTCGCATTAAACCTCACAACAACGAAGTACTTAAAGTCTGCTTGAACCTGAGTTCTCCATCAACATACCAATTTGTCTTGGTTAGCTCATTATACAAGTAAGGAAAAAGTTATTATAATAAAATCAAATTATAATTTTTGAATTATCTTACAGATTTTACATTAATATTTGTTTTTAAAATCTTTTAGATGTTTAATTTTTATTAGCTTCTGATTAAAAATTTGAATGCATCTGTTGTTTTAGAATTGTAACTCAACCAAGACTGCCGTGGTGGCCTCAAATAGATCTTCTGTATTCGCGCAGTACAGAACTTAGGAATATGTTTACCGATATTTTAAGCAAAGTGACACAGAGTTACATATCACACACACCATTGCGAGTGATTCAAAGCTTCACACTCAAAGGTAAAGAACAGAATAAGTATAGAGACCGTGGAGAAGAAATATCCAGTTACAGAAATTTATTATTATGGATGGTGAAACTTATTCATGCCGACCCCATGTTATTGCTAAATGTAAGTATTTTATACAAGCTGATTTGCGAGGAGTTTATGAACTAAACATTATTTAGTTTTACATGTATTATGCAAGCTCTGCTTTCCTTTACAGAATCAAGGGAAAGCTGGTCATGAAATACAAAGCTCCACATTAGAATTAATTAACGGTTTAGTTTCTTTGGTTCATCAACCGACAATGTCAGATATAGCATACGAAGCAATGGAAGCGTTATTAGTATTACATCATCCAGATAAGATAAAAGCGTGGAATCCGGAAGCTCCGATCAATACATTTTGGGATGTTAGTTCACAAGTTCTGTTCTCCATTTCTCAAAAGTTAATTCAACATCATATTGTTAATTACACCTGTATACTAAAATGGCTTAGGGAAATATTGATTTGTAGAAACGCTTTTCTAGCACAGCATAAGGATTATGCAAATGTGGGTAGTCAGATTGCTATCTGTAAGCAGGCACACATTAAAATGGAGGTTTGTTTAAATCAGAACATATTTAAATGTATGTCGTACTGCAGTATATATTAATTACCTCTGCATTTTCAGGTGGTACTTTTCTTGTACTTGTGGAGTATAAATATGGAAGCGGTTTTAGTATCAATGTCTTGTTTTGCGTTGTTGTGTGAAGAAGCAGAAATACGATGCGGTAGTGATGAAGTAGCCGTAACTTGTTTACTTCCTAACTATCATTTATATCTTGAATTGGCACAAGCTTCTACTGCGTTAATCACTGGTAAGTTTTAACTTTTTATGTACCGATGCTTTGATTTAGTTAGGAACATAAATTATCATATGTTTTAGATTAAAAATCGGAACTCGAATCGAAAAATGGAAACTAAATTGGTAATAGCTAAGCATTAATTCTATAAACAGTAATATATTTATTTTTCTTTTACTCTTAAACTTGTACATTTGAAATAGTTCAACATATTGTATAAAGAAATGGAGATTCAACAAAAATCAGTTTCGGTTCGAGTTTCTAATGCAAATATTTTTACCCGAATTCAAACATTCATTCATGAATTTTTGAATTCACTTTGTATTTTGATTAGTATAATCCTTATACGGCTGCAGTAGAGTATTAAAGACCTTGTTACCATAACAGCCAGCGGGGAAAGTGAAATATGTTATCACGATCATAATCAGGGTACGTATTATTCAAAAGATACGATTGAGAATACATTATTATTTATATTCTTTAAATTAGTTCAGTTGTAATGATTTATATCTAGTTATTTTATTAGTAATGAATAATAATATACAGAAATATATTTTAGGACGCGCTGCTTTACAAAAAAGAATTATGGCCTTATTGAGGAAGATAGAACATTGTGTGAATGGTGTACAACCTGTATGTATATGTAATAATTTATACTTTACGTTTATATTGCTACTGTAATTACTAAACTGTAAAATTTGAAGTACAGACATTGTAGAAAAATCTTTAAAAAGTAATTAGTATAAACTTAATAGTATTTAACATAGATTCAATATATTTTCGACATACTGACATTGTTCATAATGAAATTGATTGTTATCTAATTTTAAATATTTTTCATTTATTTGCAAAAATTTATATTTACATATACTCCCACAGTCTAGTAATTACTTAATATTTATGAATAGAAAGTGATGTAAACACATCTTTTCTTTATATTTAGGCTTGGGAAGAAACATTTAGAAACTGGGAAATAACTTCTCGGCAACTGGTGAATTATCCCAAATTTAAAATCGAGGATGGTCAAATGGAGTACCACCGAAGTACAGGAAAACGTAGAGCATCGCATCAAAATTCGGAACATGAATTAGAGGATCAAATTAATGAGTGGGCAAATATGACGGGAGTTCTATGCGCTTTAGGTGGAGTGTGTTTGCAGAAACGGTCTTCAAATAAACCATTATCAGGCATGCTACCAAATCCTGATTTAAAAAAATGTTCGTCAAAGCAGGAGCATTGTTTATCAAATCCAAGTCAAGAAGTTCAATATTGCACGCAGTTTGTTTTTAATTTGTTGCGTCTATTGATTTGTAATAACGAAAAATTTGGAAACCAAATTCAGAACCACGTTAAGGAATTAGTTGGTCATGAAATGAGTCCTGCACTATATCCAATACTTTTCGATCAGATCAAAAGCATAGTTGAGAAATTCTTTAACCAGGCTGGACAAATTGTAGTAGAAGATGTTAACACTCAATTCATTGAACATATAATATTTATCATGAAAAATATACTGGACTCAAAGACAGAACAGCCTTCTGAATATCTTGGAATGACGAGTATAGAAGGAATGATGTTAGCAATAGTCAGATATGTTCGACATTTGGACATGACCGTTCATTCTATTCACATTAAAACTAAATTATGCCAGCTTGTCGAAGCAATGATGAAACGGCGGGATGATTTAGCATTTCGACAAGAAATGAAATTCCGAAATAAACTCGTGGAATATTTAACCGATTGGGTGATGGGTGCTACGCATCAAATTACTCCATCAACTAGTGCAGACATAACTGTTTTCACCAGGTAAACCATCTTTTATGTTAGTAATTATATAAATCTATACAATAGAATATAAACAATATGAGCTATACTATCGCTCATAAGTCATTGAACGGTTATCATATTCACTATGATAACTTATCAGTTGGAGTGTATTTTTTAATGCACAGTACTTAGCTTCTTGGTTTTCATGTGTAATTTAAAACTTTAATGAGCTAAGATAATTCAAGATAATCTAATTAATTAATAAAATTATAAAAATATATGATAGAGACGAGAGTGCCTTAATTAGATTATACCTTATGAAATTTTTCAAATATTTTTGTTTTATTTGTTAGGGATTTGGATCAAGCTTGTATGGAAGCAGTGGGGGCATTATTACGAGGTCTTCCTTTGCAACCTGAAGAATCGGACCGTGGTGATTTGATGGAAGCAAAATCTCAATTATTTTTAAAATATTTTACACTCTTCATGAACTTGTTAAATGACTGCAACGAAGCCGCTGCAGAAGAAAAGGAACTCGCGTCTCAGCAGCCACGTTTGTCTAGCGGTAAATTGTCTACACTACGAAATGCTACCATACAAGCAATGAGTAATCTTCTCAGTGCAAACATTGATAGCGGTTTGATGCATTCATTAAGTAAGTGAAATTATATGACCTAATGGATTCATTTAGAAATGTATTTTTTATTTATGTTGTATTCTTTATTCTTTGTGTTTTTAAATGTCTTAATAATTATAGGTTTGGGTTATAATCCTGATTTACAAACGCGAGCAGCATTTATGGAAGTTCTCACTAAAATTCTTCAACAAGGAACAGAATTTGATACACTAGCAGAGACAGTATTAGCCGATAGATTTGAGCAATTGGTTCAACTCGTAACAATGATTAGCGACAAAGGAGAATTGCCTATCGCGATGGCTCTAGCTAATGTTGTAACAACAAATCAAATGGATGAGCTAGCTCGAGTTTTTGTGACATTGTTCGATGCAAAACACTTATTATCACCACTCTTATGGAATATGTTCTACCGTGAGGTGGAAGTCTCTGATTGCATGCAAACTTTATTTCGAGGAAATAGTCTTGGAAGCAAAATTATGGCATTTTGTTTCAAAATTTATGGTGCAAGTTATTTACAAAATTTATTGGAACCATTAATAACACCGCTATTGGATGACACGACAACTGGTTTTGAAGTTGATAGCGCAAGAATGGACACCAACGAAGACATAGAACAAAATGGACGCAATTTGATAGCATTGACCCAAAAAGTATTTGATGCTATAGTATCTTCAGCCGATCGGTATATTATTAAAACATTCAAAATTAAAATATACGAAATGAGTCACTTAACACTATGTGCTATATGAACAAAATTTACTTAATAAAATATTTTATTTTTTATTATTTATTTAATAAAAGTATTACATTATTAATTTTATGTTATTTTATTTTATGGCGCTGTTTGTTATAGCATTTGTAATTATTTTTTCAGGTTTCCGCCACAACTGCGATCTATGTGTCATTGCCTATATCAAGTACTTAGCAAAAGATTTCCACAATGTCCTCAGAACAACATTGGCGCAGTAGGAACAGTAATATTTTTGCGTTTCATCAATCCGGCTATCGTATCACCTCAAGAAATGGGTATTGTGAACAAACCTGTACCTTCTCAAGTGAAAAGAGGTCTCATGTTAATGTCTAAAATACTTCAAAATATTGCGAATCATGTTGAGTTCAGTAAAGAACAACACATGTTACCCTTCAATGATTTTTTGCGGGCGCATTTTGAAATTGGAAGAAGATTTTTCATACAAATAGCGTCTGATTGTGAAACGGTAGATCAGGCCAGTCATCCAATGTCATTTGTGTCAGATGCCAATGTGCTAGCACTACACAGATTGCTTTGGAATCATCAAGAAAGAATCGGTGATTACCTTAGCAGCAGCCGCGATCATAAGGCGGTAGGCAGAAGACCTTTTGATAAAATGGCTACGCTGCTGGCGTATCTTGGTCCTCCCGAACACAAACCGGTAGATTCACAGTAAGTCATACAAATATATTTAAGTTATTATATATTATAATTAAAAATATCAATCCCTAAAACACACATTAATTTCATTTCAATAGTTTAGTATTTTCTTCATCTTACGCTCGGTGGTCAAGTATTGATATGTCTTCAACTAATTTCGAAGAAATTATGGTGAAACATAATGTACATGAAAAGGAAGAATTTAAGAGTATCAAGAATTTAAATATCTTCTATCAAGCGGGAACCAGTAAACAAGGATACCCTATATTTTATTACATTGCTAGACGTTATAAGTGTGTACTTTGATCTTTAACTTATTATTTTTTAACTTCTGGTCCAAGTTGTAAATTTTAATTTTAATTTTATATTTTTGTAGAACCTGTCTTGGTGATACACACGATGAGTTGCTGATATATCACGTCATTCTCACATTAAAACCATTTTGGCATGCTCCGTACGAATTGGTTGTCGACTTCACACATACGTGTTCAGACAATCGGTTTAGAACTGACTTTCTACAAAAATGGTTATATATATTGCCTAAAACCGCCTACGAGAAAATTCACGCTGCATATATTTACAATTGCAATAGCTGGGTAAGGGAATACACGAAGTTCCATGACAGAATTTTGGCGCCCTTAAAAAACAACAAAAAAGTAATTTTTCTTGATGGACCGAATCGTTTGAACGATGTGATTGACATTGACCAACAAAAACTGCCTGGTGCTACGCTCTCTTTGGACGAAGATTTGAAGGTTTTCAACAGCGCCTTGAAACTTTCTCACAAGGAAACTAAGGTATCCGTGAAAGTTGGACCAACTGCTATACAAATTACGTCGGCGGAGCGATGCAAAGTACTATCGCATTCCGTTCTTTTAAATGATGTTTATTACGCGTCAGAAATTGAAAAGGTTTGTTTACTAGACGACAATCAATTCACATTAACCATCTCAAACGAAACAGGCCCATTATCTTTCATTCACAACGATCGCGATAGCATCGTTCAGGCTATAATTCATATAAGAAATCGATGGGAACTGTCACAGCCAGAGTCTGTATCGGTTCACCCAAAGATTCGACCTAAACATGTACCCGGCACATTATTAAACATGGCTTTATTAAATCTCGGTAGCTCGGATCCAAATCTGAGAACAGCAGCATATAATCAATTATGCGCTTTAACTGCAACATTTGACTTGAAAATAGAAGGACAACTGTTGGAAACATCTGGACTCTGCATACCATCGAATAATACAATATTCATAAAACATCTCAGTGAAACATTAGCCTCCAAAGATCCACACTTAACTCTGGAATTTCTAGAAGAATGCATACAAGGATTCCGATTATCGAGCATCGAATTAAAACATTTATGTTTAGAATATATGACTCCATGGTTGAATAACCTTGTGCGATTTTACAAACCGAATGACGGAGGAGGAAAACGTCAGAAGCAAGTGACAGAAATTTTAGAAAAATTAATTACGTTGACCATCGAGGAAGTGGAAATGTATCCAAGTATACAAGCCAAGATATGGAGCACGATTGGAAGATTGCCGGATTTAATAGATACAGTACTCGACAATTTTATTCAACGTAGTGCCAACGAACTTGGATCTCCAACAGTTGAAATAATGGCAGATACAGCAGTAGCTTTGGCATCTGGAAATGTTCAGTTGGTCGCAAAGAAAGTAATAGGAAGACTCTGTCGAGTTGTGGACAAAACCTGTACTTCTCCAACACAATTACTAGAACAGCATACAGGATGGAATGATATTGCTATTCTAGCGAGATATTTACTGATGTTGTCTTTTAATAACTGCCTGGATGTGGGGAAACATCTGCCCTACTTGTTTCACACAGTAACGTTCCTCGTCTGTTCCGGAAGTTTGAGTATGCGAGCATCTACCCATGGATTGGTCATCAACAGTATCCACTCGCTTTGCACCTGTAGTTCTCCTTCTTTTTCAGAGGACACTTACAGAATATTGCGAATGAGTTTAGATGAATTTTCTCTTCCAAAGTTCTATTTACTTTTTGGTATAAGTAAAGTAAAATCAGCTGCGGGTACAGCATTTAAATCTAGTTATAAACAGTCGAGCGAGAAATGGGCCAGCACTGAGCGTAGTATTACAGGCACACACGAAAAAGAGAGACTCTCATTAACTAGCTTAGAAATTATCACGGATGCTCTCCTTGAAATAATGGAGGCTTGTATGCGAGACATTCCACAATGTGATTGGTTGAAAACCTGGACTTCCTTGGCAAGAAATTTCGCATTTTGCTACAATCCGGCTCTTCAACCAAGAGCTCTGATCGTTTTCGGATGCATCAGTAAAAGTATTAATGATCAAGATATGAAACAGTTACTAAGGATACTGGTAAAGGCATTGGAAAATTTTAGTGATATCACTTTGCTCGAAGCAATTATTATGTGCCTCACTCGGTTACAGCCGCTACTGAGATCAGTAAGTTATAACTTACATCTCCTTGTATACATACCGTTGAGATATCGTCAAACATAATTTCAGTTAATATTTCTAATACTCTTCAGGAATCTCCAATACATCGGTCTTTATTTTGGGTAGCAACATCGGTTCTTCAATTGGATGAAGCATCCTTATATGCATGCGGCTTAGCACTTCTTGAACAAAACTTGCATACTTTAGAATCTCAAGGAAGTTTTGATGACAAGGTAATTGCTTATATATTTGTTATTTGTATAGTGTTTAATGTATTTAGTTATTATATCAAAAACATGTATTATTTATTTTAGACTCTGGAACATGTTATGATGTCTACTCGTGAACCTTTAGAATGGCATTTCAAACAGTTGGATCAGGCTGTAGGACTATCATTCAAGTCTAACTTCCATTTTGCATTAGTTGGACATCTTTTGAAGGGATATAGACATCCTACTCCAACGACTGTAACCAGAACAGCCAGAGTGCTCACTATGTTGTTAGGTATTGTAGCGAAACCATTCAGAAGGGACAAATTTGAAGTAACACCGGAAAGCGTAGCTTATTTAGCTGGTAAAGCTCTTTTTCATCTCATCTTTAAATACTTGTTTTCTTGTATATTGAAAGGTAATAATTAATATATTCTTACGTAATCAGCTTTGGTATCAGTATCGGAAGAAGTGAGAAGTAGATGCCATATTAGACATTCGATTACAAAAAATGCAGAATCGGGTAGTACAGACTGTATTGATAACTTGCTTCCTCATAATGCAGTGAGTAGGTTTTGTAATTCTACTTGTTTAATATATTACAGTTTGATGTAATGGTGATATATCCACAACTTAGAATATTTAAATTTTTAATATTTAAATACTATGTAAATATGTTTTATAAATTACATCTTCATGTACAGGATACATCAAATGCAACAACTAGTAATCCTACGAATCGCCGTCAAAAATCGTGGGATTTATTGGATCAGTCCGCACTCACTCAGGCTAGGCAACAAAAACAGTATTCAACGCATCAGGTATGTAATATTTTAATTAACTATCAACGTATTAAATATTACACATATGAACAATATTATATTAATTTTAATGATTAACTGCTTATATTAAATTTTTATCACATAAATAAAAAATAGGTTGTACCCTATGTACTCTGTTCCATTTACATTTAATATTTTTTTTTATTCAAACAATCAATTAATTCTATTAATTTTATTCATCAATTATATCAATTAATTTTATGTTTATAAATTTTTCTTTGTATAAGTTTCTATACTCAGATGTAAAATTGTATTTTGCCTAGACTGTTAAATTTTTAATGAAGATTTTTAATGAAGACTGTTAGATTTTCAATGAATCTATGTACATATGTACATTTTTAAAAATTATACATTCAAATATTCTAATACAAATTTTATTATTAAATTTATTTTATCATTACTATGTACACAACGTTTTTAATTAGTTATTCGTTTAATAATAGCTTTTCATTAATAACAAAACCAAGGAACTTGATATATTTGAACTGAATACAAAACAAGAGAAATTTAGTAATATACATATTATAAATTTGGGCATAGAAAAACTAAAAACTGTTCACATTTGGAAATATAGTTTGTATATGAAGAAACCAGGTTATAATTGACGTAAAGGTTTTTTTTTAATTTTGGGTTTTACGTCGCATCGACTACGAGGTCATTAGCGACAGGAATACATAATTCGTTTTATAGTGTTCAGATAGTTCAGGATATCGTAAAGTTTATTATTCAAAGTTTTACATAATTCCTTTGCAACAATATTTACTAATTTGCTATATATTTAGCATATTTTAATAAATAAGAATCACTTTTCGATTTATTAATATTATTTATTGTTTTGTGTTCTTGTATGTTCCTCTATTTTCACTTATGGTCTCAATGCTCGCATCTACATATGCCTATCTTGCCTGTACCTGGGTTGCTTAAAACGCCATGAAACTTGTCACTTGTATGTGTCACATTCCATCAATCTGTACGAAATTGATGATGTCTGCAACATTAACTAGACTGGGCGGATTTTATTTAAAACGCAGCGATCCTTTTCGGTACCGACTGCAAAGGAAACAAAATCCACTGAAGAAGCGGAACCAAAGGTATTAATATTGTATTTGTGTATAAACATTTAAAATCTTTTTTTCTTCATCAGTATCAATACTATATTCAAGTTTTTATGATTCATACAGAATCGAAGTGCCAGAGTAAGTGTCAGTAATGAAAACAATGTATTACTCGATCCAGAAGTGCTGACGGACTTTTCAACACAAACTTTAGTTTTAACTGTTCTGGTTACTTTGGTGAAAAATTCAACTGAAGAAAATGAGCAACGAATTCTTTATGAATACCTTGCAGAAGGTTCTGTAGTTTTTCCAAAGGTATTCCCTGTAATGTAAGTTCTTATGTTACAAAAACTTTTTAATATCGTAAATTAATATAATTACACGTATAACAACTATATTTATTGTTGTAATTCTATAAATGTAAACGTTACTCATGTTACTTTGAATTTTACAGTCACAATCTGCTCGATGCAAAAATCAATAATGTTTTGTCTTCCTGTCACGATCAAGGCATACTAAATTCTGTGCAAGCAATTATACAGAATATGATTGCATGTGAAGATACAAGCCAACAACAACTACATTATTTACAAAGTTGTGGATTTGGAGGACTATGGAGATTTGCTGGTCCGTATACAAATGTAAGTAAACATCATATACTATTTCATTATATTCGGAGCATATTAAGATTTACACTTCAGTTTATTTGGAATGACTGTTTAAAATTTTGTTTCATTTTTGTATATAATCTTCCAATAATGTTCAATGTTTTATAGTCTAATTGTACAGCCAAAAGTGCTCAGTTATTCGTGAATTGCTTAGAAGCAATGATAGAGACGTGTCTACCAGTTGATGAAGTTGAAGGATCAAACAGTAACGAAGTTCCACCTGAGAAAAGTAAACGAACGGATATACAAGCTTCAGAAGGCTCGTTGAAAACCAAAAATTCGAAACAATGGTCTAATCGAACCAGTACACGTACATTTTCCGAAAGAAAGGATGAAAATTCTCGAAACACTATAACCGTCGTTCACAGAGAGTAAGTTAGTTATTGGTAACTTAGTACTTCCATTTCAATAGATTTGGTACGCATGTTTTTGCACAATATTATATATTGTGTAATATATTATGTAATTATGTAAATAAAAAATCGGTGCATGCATTATAACACATATTAACAATAATAATTTTAGTCGCAGTACTGAAAACAGAGGAGACATTTCTGGGGATTCTGTGATCCAAGGAGGAAGCACTTGTAGTAGTGGCTGTTCACAACCTTAGCAATTAGCGTGTGAATTTAAGAAACAGTACTGTAAACATGGGCGAAAAGGGCAAGTTGGTTGGAAATTGCAACGACAACTAAGGTATGTATAAAAGGATTATTTAATAATGTAATTATTTGTTATACGAAACATACATGCTTACTTATTATCAAACATTATAAATTGTTAGAAAAATGTTATTATTTTAATAATGATATAAAAACTAATTTATTGCTAAACGTTTAATCAATCTTATTTTATAATTAGATTAGACTTCCTAACAAATATAAAAGTTACTCAGCATTCAATATGTTAAATCTTTTACATATAATATTTTTTATATTACTGCATTGTTTGTGTGAGTAAGTTTTCAGTTATCAGTATTCATAATAAATATGGATTGAATCATATTTTTATAACTGATTCGCAATAACCAATTTAAATTTAGAAATGTAAAATTTAGAAAAATATGTCTAAACCCTTAAATTATCAAAAAATGCTTTACTGTACTAATTTTACTATGTACTTTCTCTCAAGGAACGCAAACATTTTGGCTCCGTGTTATTGCTGCAACATGTCAAATCAGTTTAATCCAATGCCGTCCACCTCATGTTAACGAACCCACTGGAATGGAATCCAACACACATTACGCATTCTTGTTTTCTTCATTATTTTCTTAACTCGGAAGATGTGTTAAAAAAGTAAAACAATACGAATGGATATGGTAAATATGAAATTTGGGAGACCACGAACCTTGATAACACATGTGAAGGTCAATGTCATTGGAGATGAAACTCCTATACTTTACTTTTATCACGGATACTACTATATTTATGAAAGTCGTAATTGATTCTTAGTAGAAATTTAAATTTATGTAAGTGCATTCAGTGAGCTCGAATACTTCCTGCGTTGTTTTTATAACTTGAATTCAAACGAAACATTCACGTTTAATCTTAGGACGCTTAAGGAAAAGTTAGAAAATGTTCACAGAATTTAAGTTTTGTATCAAAAAGTTATTAAATTTAATGGATGTAAACAGTATATTATTGAATTCTAAATAAATATATTTTGAACAGACTTGCTGAAACCTTAAGCAGACTAGGATTAACAATGTTTTGTAGATATGTAAATATGCACAAAGTGTATACAGGTAATTGTTAGCTTCAAAATAAGACATTTACATAATGTTATTTTATTGTCAGTTAAATAACACAGATGGATTGAAAAACTCGAGCTTAGTTACAGTAGTATCCGTACGTGTCTGCTATTGCTTATTTTGCTCCAAATTAAACGTATATCCTTGTATCAACAGTCTACAATCCCGTATTCTTTGAAAATTCGTTTTGGACTTGACAGGTAATTTGTATTTAAAGTGGAAGAAATTATAAAGTGTCAAACAGTTGACCTTTGTTGCATCGTTGTTGCATCGCAACGATATTTGAACGAGAAATTATAAAATAATTTTAACAGTTAATCTAGTTTGTAGTATCATGGCAGAGGTGAGATGTTTATCTAAATGTTTCTAACCCTTTACAGCTAAATATTTTTATATCATAGACCGAATCTGTTTCTCTTTCTGAACAGATTTAACATAGCTCTACGTTGTTAGAATAATATTATTATATACATAGTTTATCAGAGAATTCTTATTCCATGTACAGCTATAAAGGGTTAAATGCGTTTATTTTTCATTTCAATGTACAGTAGAGGAGAATGGTATCTTACGACAGACACTCGGTTCTATTTCTTCGACTTGATTGCGGCAGACGATTAAAGAGAATGTAGTTGTTAATATTATAACGTGACAGGCGAGAAATACTCGTTGCATCGAAACGATGTGTGTTTCACCAGGGATTCGCTGAGAACTATGACGAAAAAGCATTCAATATGCTTACATAAATACATAACAGAATTTTTCTACGAACATAGAGATATATTATATCGAGAGGAATGTATTCGCGCGAATAATCACGAACTTTTCGTGTTTTCAGATATATATCATGTGAAGAAAAAGAATGTAATTTGTTCAGAATAGAATTCCCGAGCAGGGCAGTATCCTGCGAAGTATTATTATTTAGTTTTATATTTATTATTTGAATGTAATTGAATTTTATTAGAAAAAAAGAACAAACGAACAAAAACAAAATACAAACGATAAGATGTATGTGTGCGTTCTGCGAAATCGTGATTATTGAGAATATCGAGTTTTCTCTTTAATAGAATTTCGAGAGGGATGAAACTCGCCTCTCGAATACAATTATTATATAATAGTATAGGTTCAACCCCTTACGCTTGGCGTATATTGTATGTATGTGGACTGAAAGTTAAGTATCATAAATCAAAAATGATGTTTTGCTTTATTGACACCTGCAACGAAAATTCGCTCTGTGACTAATTTGTTTATGAAATGTTGTTCCAAGATATGTTCACTGAAAGACTAATACCTTATTAACAATTGCAGTGATATTCACATCAGTTGGGAAAAGTTGTTTTCAAACATTTCAAAAAAATTTATATATAGCTATTTTGTTATCTATCTATCCTATTTGGAGAAATGAAATACACACTGATTTGAATAACTTCATAATATGTACATGTTTCTTGTAACTTTCTGTTTGTTCCACAAAAAAAAAAAATTTCTTGGATTAAAACAAAATTATTAAAGAATTTCTAGCAAACTGCGAACACTGTCTAGTTTCATCTTTTTTCAACCTGTTAACTGGGTGATTGCATATGTAAACAAAGGATCCTAATCTTGATTTATACTGCATTACACGCAAAAACGATGTAACATACCCTATTACAGATATATGATTAGGCTTATCAGTAATCAAGTTACAGTTTGAATGCAAACTGCTATGTACTCTTCGGTTAACAGGTAAAGGTAGTTTTCTAGAAACCGTAGTAGTTTAATTTAAAGCGTTATTGAGTCGCTGTTATTGGAATTAACGGTTTAAAAACATAGGGAAACTCTGCGTTACAGATCTTCCAAAAAAAGCGTCAGGGGGTTGATTATGCGACGATGCTCTGGACCAGAATGCGTCCGGTGCATTGATGTGTCGATTCGTCTGGAGACGCTCGTGCTATCGGACGATTATTTCTAGAGTTCTCTAAAACGAAACACCAATGATTCTATTGTCTACTACTTATTGAAGTACAAAGTGAGACCATGCGTTATTTTCCCCCGCAGTGTACAACGGCACAAAGGGATATTTCTAATTACTAGTGATTAGAAAGATAAATTGCGATCGGCCCCGGCAGAAGCCTCGATTCTTCCATTCGAAAACAATGGCTACGAATGCGAAAGATATATGCATTGCGTAAATATAGTAGCTTAATTGCAGCAATATAGAGGTATCTGTATTGAATTCGTTCATGCGTTTGTAGGTAGTATACATATAACATACAACATACAGATGGTATCTTCAGTTGATCGGACATTTAACGGATAATGCGATGAAATCATCGTGATTTGTTCGCATTTAAATAACATTTGACATTAAGAATCTTTTGGTTTCGCGCGCACGTCTAATTTTTGATTAGATCATTTCAATCGTTTCGTAAAGCAAAATTTAGAAGTTTCGAACCCCGTCTCATGAACGACCTAACACTTATAAAAATTCTGTATTCAGAATGTTTCGTAAAGTATCCGATATACAGGAAACTATTGTGTCAATCCAAGATGAGCTAATATTGTTGTTCCATATTTATTAGGTTGTGTAACAAGTCCGGTCGCGCTTTCTTATAAGAAAATATGATACCGCGCAGTCGTCGATGCGAACGGATTTATTATACAATTTCAGCCTAATCTACCCTGTCTTAAAGTAGACACTTCCAACTTTCATTTAAGCTAAGTTGCATAGAAATCGCCCCATAAGAACATATTTTAAAATTCATCTGTACTATCGCTTTGAATTCGTGTAATTTTCCTTATTTTTCTTATGTGTCAGAGATCCGCGAACGGACGTATTGCACAACCTAATACACAGTTTGAACTTAAAAATTTACGATTGATACCGAATGTAAACACTTTAAGTTACCTGAAGACGTAGAACCCCAATTTCGAATACTAATTTCCTGAATATATCGTATGTTACGAAACACTCTATACATAAATATTTGATAAACTATATTAATATTCGTATAGGACATCATGTTTCAAAGAGTTCTAATGATTTTACGATAATGAAATTGTTTCCGACAGTTCAACTAAAGGAATATATGTTACTATTAGGAAAGATAATTCAATAGATTCGAGTGTCCATGTAAAATGTTGATTTAAGATGTACAGTCTCCTAAATGCTTGTACTTAGATATTTTTTAAGCACCACGAGTCGACTTGCGCTGCGAATAAAGCGTTGTTAATCTAGTTAAATGTTTAAGTGTTATATCTATTTTATGCGGTAATTGCAAAATATAAAACGACAGATATCTTGAACAGAGATAATATAATTCTTGATGTTTTCATATTTTGAATCGGAGGCACCGAGTTCCTCGTTGATCTCATGGAAACGATTCGAGTTATTTTTAACACGTTATTCAACGATATACGCCGTGTACATGTTCCCAAACGTATATTTTCGACAATGATACTCCATTGTCCGTTACTTTTCATTGACATATTAGTGAAACTATCAAGAATTGTTCTACGTTGAAATTCTAATTCGATATTTTCTGAGACGCAAGATAATCGTACCGATCACTTGGAACTTAGAACTGTTTTTATTCCTCTATATTTCAAATCTGATCTGGTTAAAATATTCTATTTTCATCATTTACATTCAAATTAGCCTAAACAACAATTAACAATTGTTATTTGGAAATCTTATATATCGAATAAATTTTATATAAGTTGTAACATTATTTTTAATCACAGAAAGATAGCAGTGAATAATTCTTAGCTAAATCCAAGTACATATAACCATTGCCTTTGAAGCGACCTAAGTTCGTATCTTTCTTTCTAATTTATGATTTATTATCCATGTATATAATGTGTATGTAATGTGTTATTTAAATGAAAGCTCTTCAGCGTTTCGTTGAATGATTTTGAGATTATGAAATCTAATTCATAACACTTCCGTTCCTTCTAATTTCATGTTCTCGTTCACCGATAAAATAGACGTTCATTAGTAACTGCCGTATTACGTGGTCGATGTTTTTTACCAAAGGTATATGTATTAAAAGATTGTTTTTAGACTGCGTTATACATATAAGGCAGCTAATAACGTTAGTTATTGATAAATACTAATTAATGATAATAATAAACATGGAAGTAACATTGGATTGATGTAAACCTTCTGGGATCGTTTCTTTCACCTGAACAGAAGTCATTGTGAAACTTACGCATCAATTCAACTATTAGTACATAAATAATTATAATCGCTTCTTATGTACAGCGCTGACCTCCTACGTTTGTTCGAACAAAGTTTCGTTTACTGTTTCCACTATTATTTAATACAGACTGTCACGAAGGTTTCTATAAACAATGTCTTGAGTTACGTAAGTACAGAAAACAACAATTCAGGTACAGGGAGAATTATTTTGATAAGGGAATATTCGTTTTCTTTGTCGGTAATTTTTGGTCAGCAATCTTTTTTTTTTAAGGTTCACCAAAGGACAGTTTGATCTGTAACTTAATCCATAATTTTCAAAAAAATTTTGATATTCAAATATAATTTGATATTAAGAATTTTGAAATTCGGTTTAATTTTTACGATAAAAATGGGCAAATGGATTATTTGGATTCTAGTAGAGTGTATTTACTTAAAATAAGATATATATATACATGTTTATCAATGCGATAAACGTATTCATACAACTAATAGAATAATTCTGACCGATAACATTGTTACAAATCCAAACTTTAAAATGAATAATTACGTATAAAATCTTATATATTTTTAACAAAAGATAAGCTGAAATAGAGGGTTTGAGTTTATTTATGATTGACAGGGTTAGACAGGGTTTTTGGCTTTTCTAGATTTGTTTTTATATCTTATGTGCTTAAATAAAATGGCAGCCTATAATGAAAATAATATCGATTTTCAACGAATTTTTAAACATTCATTGCAAAAAAAAATCCCGAGGGAATTATAATTTTAAACAACCATTATAATTTCATTAATACATAGTTCATAATTTCTTAATACATAGAAATACGCGGATGAAGTTACAGATTTAAATGTCTTTTAGTGTTTTAAAACGATGTACACCATTCTTAGACTTCACCTGTACAAAATAAAAAAGAACGAATAACCTCTTAAATGCGTAAATCATTTCAATATGTTATTATTACAAATACAGTAAATTATCCCTAATTGACGCTTATATTGTGCACAAAAATGGACAATTTGGGAAGAGGAGATACGATTATTCGAGCCTTGTGTTTCGTTTTTATAGTTGTTGACAATCGGTAACTATAAAATCGAGCCGCAAGGCTTGAATAATCTTATTTCCTCTTCACAAATTGTACATTTTTGTGTACAATCGGAGCAGTAATTAGAAAAAATTTACTGTACTAGTTCAGGTTGTTGTAAACAGTGCACGACAACGAGATTACTTTCGTTTACTGTTTTTATACATGTGAGAACATTTTTTACGAATATAATAATTTTGATTACGAACCCAGCGTTCTAAATATAAATTTTAGCATCATATTCTGCAGATAAACAATGTAAATAATCTTATACGATTGCTTTTTTGATATATACACGTCTAAGTTTATTCGACTGTACCCTTATGTGTATCAGGCGTCAGAAGAGGCAAGAACGTACCCGTATGCAAACATTGCTAATTCTGTGAGTTATCAATTAATATTTTTGAGTTTGTGATTGTGGCTTGACTTTTACATTCTGACGGATATTTGATGGAAACTAATTGACCTAATATTAGACAGACGATTGAGTATTTTTTGATGAAGTTTTGTAACTGCCTACATTAAAATTATATAAAATAACTCTAACATTGTTGAAATATTTGCAGACATGGTAAGAAGTAGAACAAATGTTTTTATGGTAACAACTCATTAAAGCTAAAATGCATTTACATTACACTGTACAAGATTGTTCACAGTCGATTTAAAACTTTGTTTAATTTTATGTAAAGGTTGTAAAAAAAGAATTTATATATATTATAGAAGCTGTCCCGTTGACAATACGACTTTTAGAACTAAAATTCTTCAATTTTTGTTACATAAATTAACAATATTGAAACTTCGATCTCTTTAGGTTTAGGATTTTATTATTGTATAATGTGCAGTTTCTTACCGCCCACGTTAAATATTTGATCTGATGTGGAAAATAATTTACGTACATCCAACGGTTATTAATTTTTTCATTTCAATTCAAATTGAAATGATGAAATTTTTCATTTCATTTCAAAACCAATAGATTTTATTATCTGTTATTGAAAGTGTGATAATGATCATGATTATATTTGCTTATAACAGCAAGGTGCAGATTATGAATGGATTATGCAAAATTGTTGCTTTTCTTGTATAAAATATCTGTCACTTATGTATCCAAGCCTTCAATAATTATTTACATAAAATCATATGTAATGGTTTTCATCTAAAGGCTTCAGCTTTTGTGGTATGAAAATGTTATTCTATTTGCAAATAATTTTCTCACTTATAAACATTTATGGACGAAGGAATAATAAAGGAATAATAATATATATACCATCGAAAAAGAATAAAATAGTAGGAAACAATATCAATTAAGACTGCACACGTAAAAAAATTGTATCTTCTTAAAAGTTGTTGTCCAAAATATTTTTTCATCGATCGATTTTGGTTTTATTTCATCGGAACTCGAGATACAGAGTAACTTTTAAACCACGAATGTGTCGATGAATTGTTACACCAAACATATTTTATTGATAAAATGATTTCTAGCTGTTTCATAATTGTAACAATTTCTTTCCCTAATGATTCCGTCTATATAATGTTTAAACAAAAATAACTAACGAATGGATATGAAGTTTACATTATTCACTTGCGACATTTTGCACTTGCAACTTCATTCATTCTCCAGCGCTAGCATTCAGGTCAATGCAATAATTAGCTGGGCCTTATTCTGCTCAACTTGTTGAAATATTGCCTACAAACCATACATTCAAAACATACACACAAATCCGCTGGCAAATATGGTCGAGAATCCTGGGAGACGAAAAGAACAAGTCAAATATCGCGCCGCGTGAGATCGCAAGCACGGTAAAGTGAGATAGCCTACGTTTCTCGTCTGTTGGACATTCAACACAGAGACCGCTAGGTTCGTTTGTATCTCTTGATAATCTCCCGTTCTTTTTCTAAAACAACTGCGCAAAAGTGGATGCGCAGAGAAGAATGGTGAGGCTGGAAAGGTTCTTGATTCTTGAATTGGAGAAAGAAAAAGCTTTTGAATTGAGAGACGACTGTTGACTGTGCTATGTGCATTGTGTTTGGCCTCTATGACCACGTTTATTCACACTTGCTCACACTCACATTACCTTCAAAGTTGATAAACAGATAAATACTATCCACGTGCAATATAATTAGCGATGGGAAAAACGTCTAAAGACAAACGTGATATATATTATCGTCGAGCGAAGGAGGAGGGTTGGAGGGCAAGAAGTGCATTTAAATTACTCCAAATAGATAATGAATGCCACATATTAGATGGTTTGTATTACATGCAAGAATAACAATATAATAAAGTAAACAGCAAAACAGATTCGACACCTTTTAAAACAGAATAACTTGCCTATGATTGTAAACAATTAAAGATTATGAAAATAGTTAATAACTGAAGATTTTTACATCTTTTAATAACTGTAATTTGTTTCTTTATTAATCGATTTTGATGAAATTTTCAATATACAAGCAAGTTTCTGAAATGTATAATTGCACTGTTTAAATTTTTGTTATTGGCTCAGGTAACAAAAGTTGAAAAACGTAACTTTTACACTTGTTTTTGTCATTCCAACTACTGCATCTTTTGCAAAATTTGTTTAAAACATTGTCTAGCAGATCAGTTCTTCTAACATCTTAAAAAATACAAGCAGATTGATCCAATTTTTAAAGTTATTATGTTTGAAAAGATATCGTCACAATTTTCTTCTCTAGTGTATTTATAAATTTAAGAACAATGATTTCTGATTTTTTCATAGGGGTGAATAAAGCAGTAGACTTGTGTGCAGCACCGGGCAGTTGGAGCCAGGTGTTGTCGCGAAGATTAAAGTGAGTATATTAGATTTAAAAATTGCTGTACAATATAAATTTTACTTAATTCTTTATAACGCAATTGACATATTTTGCATTTTTACATGTGCAGTGAGAATTATAAGAAAGCTTTGGAAACTGCAAATGCGACACCAGCTCCAAAAATTGTTGCTGTTGACCTACAAGCAATGGCATCCTTGGAAGGGGTTATACAAATGCAAGGAGATATTACTAATGTTACTACAGCAGAGCAAATTATTGCACATTTTGATAATGAACAAGCTGACTTGGTAGTGTGTGATGGAGCACCTGATGGTAACTTATGATATGAATGCTTAAGAAAAAAGAGTAAATTCATAAATGAATGGATAAAAAGATAACACTATTTTAACAATTAATTACAGTTACAGGGCTTCACGACATGGATATTTATATTCAATCCCAACTATTGCTGGCTGCCCTAAATATTACAACTCATATACTACGAAAAGGAGGCACATTCGTAGCAAAAATATTCAGAGCTAAAGGTGTTTCATTACTTTATTCTCAGTTAAAAATATTTTTTCCATATGTTTATTGCACAAAACCTAGTAGTTCAAGGAATTCAAGCATAGAAGCTTTTGTTGTGTGCAAAGATTATTCACCCCCCGAAGGTTACAAACCTAATATGTTAAATCCACTCCTGACCCATAAATCATGTGATTTTAATGAATTGATTGGAGTCAATAGGGTCGTTGTACCGTTTGTCGTTTGCGGTGACCTTAATCAACCGGATTCCGACACCTGCTATCCGCTGAATGTAAGATATCTACCAGAGTGTTCCAAAAATGTTGTAAGCCCTTGAAAGGGGTGATTGCTGAGGACATTTGAAGAAATTTATTCCTTAATGAAAGTATTTTGCGTGATTTTCAAAAACACTTTCAAGGGTTTGCAACATTTTTGGTCTCCTTTTATAATGTAAATATAATTTTTCCTAGATATAATAAATTTTGTAAATCTATATAATGTATTGCAGTACGGAGGCAAGGAGTACAAGTATCACGAACCAGTACAAACACCAATCGCACCGCCGTATGAACAGGCCTTATCTTTATTAGAAAACAGAGATACAGATTTCAGGAAAGCTGACGTTAGTGTCGTAATAGACAATATAAACTCAATGACTATTTCAGACTTCAAAGAGCAAGCGAAACGAAAACGTAAAGAAACAAATGAAAAATTAGCACATCAGGATACTGTTGAATTAACTAGTAAAGATACATTAGATCTTACAGAGTGTGCATCATTATTAGACAGTAAAAGTGAAGATGATGAATGAAAGAAATTTAATATTGTTAAATTATGTAAATATATTGTTACGACGATAACGTAAAAATAGGGACTGTGAAGTTAACAGCGACGAAGATTGGACTTCTAGAAAAAACAATGGACCAATCCCGAGCTATTCATTGCGATTTGCAAAAGAAACGTTACATGTTTCGTGTTGTATACGTAGTTTTATTATATGAATATAGCGCAAACTTAGGATTCGTACAGACATTGCATCTTATGGGCTTTTCTGTTTGAGTTTGGAGGGGCTTTAAGAGCCCCCTTATCATTTCATGTTGCGCTCAGCGTTACCGATAGTTCACGAAAAATGGACACATTAGCGAGCAGCGAATATCTTGTATATTTCATTCCTACTACAGGTGCTGAATATTATTTGGAGGAAATAAGTGTATACGGCACGAACATTTAAAGATGGAAATTGTATTTATGAAACATGTACTATACATAGAAATACGATATAAGGTGTAATTATTTTTATGTAGAATTGAGCAATTATTTCTACTAATTATAAAATTAGTGATGGTATACATATAGCAATAGTTTTATACATTTTGTCTCGCAGATGGCAATTGACAAGATTAATTTTATAAGCTTTACAGTGCAACAAGAGCATTGCATGCAATGTTTGTACAGATTCAAAGTTTGTGATATTAAGTTGTTGCAAAAGTAATATAGGTTTTCTATATTTGCAAAATCGAAATTACATTTGCAACAACACAATAGATACTATCTGGTAAAATTTTTCCAACTCGTCAAATTATCAAGATGAAGTTCGTAGCTGAAAATTCAGAAGAGATTACATGATGTAAACTATCTAAATATCTATAATTATAACAAAAGTGGTTAGTTATTAAGGCGTTACAGTAATTTCTCTCGTATTGTTCCTCAGCTTGGAACGTTATACTTATTTAAACCATTTATTTCATAGCAAGGCTGAGGAAAAATAGATTTTCGGAATAATAAATGGACAAATACCCTTTTTGAAATATTAGTTACATATGGATATTACGTAGTTAAATATATTTGAAATGCTATTTCCATATGTATAACTACTATTTCACAAAAAGTTTTTATTTGCCAAATTCTGTATTACATAAGAAGATAAAATTGTTTACAGTCTATTTACTACTTGAAAAATTTATTTTTCCCTAGTCCTGCTTTACAGTCATTAGCTCGATGTAATTACCGATTTCGAATCTGTTATAGAATGATCGAGGTTTCTTTCGATTTATAACTGATTGGAAATCGGAAATTACATTGATTGCCGGAGTCTCACCACGTGGAGGTTGCTGTGACTGGAGACCCGAAAAGGAGTCGGAACAAAGACAGAATTCGATATGGCTCTCATTCTCACAACAAATCTTACTTAATTACTAACATCTTAATATATATATATATATATATATATATTTATAGTTATATATAGTTATATATATATATATATATATATAACGCCAAAATAACTAACCACATGTCAACAAATTATTGCGGACCAAAAGTAAATCCATCGGCGAATGAGATGTCTTCATACGATGATATCTTTCGATGAAAACCATTCAAATCGCAAGCGATTATGATTCTTCTACAGTATACCACCATCGATCACAAATACGAATATGAATTTTCGAAAAAGTAAAATTACATATGCACTCTTTCAAGCTGTATTTTTCTATCATGCTTGATATAAAAGCTAAGGCCATATCCAGTGCAACATAAACTACAAGTGTCACCACATCCTCTAATTACAACACACAGTTACGTACTAGTTATAACATTAAAAGTAACGAATGTATGTTGCTCTGTAAGAATGACAGAACTGATTTTATTTAGACTTTTCACACTTGGATTAAGAAATTTATTCAATTATTTCCTATGAAAGAGAGTCTTTATAATTTTAGCATTTTTAAAATACAAAATGTGGGGTCGGTCATTTAGCGTAGTCAGATTTAGCATTAAGCTTGGAGTGACAATTGAAAAAAAAAAAATAAAAAAGAGAAGAATTTGTGCAATACTATTTTCAGGGACAGACATTGCTGTCTAAAAGCACATGCGATTAGTGCATGTGCTCTATCGCGATGTCTACACAACACTAAATGAAAACGCGAGAGACTGTTGAATTTACAGTGGATCATCCTTCCTGTATACTTTTATGTATAATTCCATTCTAATTTCATCGTACAATTTCGTTATGATACCGAATAGGAGAATTACAATTATATTTTTCATGCAGACAGAAAATCGAAGTCAAAGGTAAAGAAACGTAGACTTCTTTTCGCAACGCTAATCTACGAGACTGAGAGTTAAATCTCTGAATATCAGCGTGAGTAGTGCATTGATAATCTCGATATTAAGCTGTTCGATTCGAAATTAGAAACTCTCCTGCACTCTGATCTGTTTCCATGCAACTTTAAAGGGAATCGTCGAGTGTGCGGCTACTCGCAGTGTGGCATTTATTTATTTTGCAACTCTAACACAACTTGTTGGCAATTTTTGCGACGCTAAGACAACAGCGTAGAAGAATCCACGCAACGCTAATATTTCGAGATAGCCTAGCGACAGCGGCTGTCTCCAGCCTCTTGGAATCTCCACGGATATTTCTCACGTTACAACGTAACGCCAAGACGGATGCGCCCCTTCGTCCAGGACGCTGATTCCGGCTCGCGGAATGAAAATTCCACGACCCAGCCGCTCCGGATATACAGGGTGTTCCACAATTATTTTAACAGCCGAAAATGAGGGGTAACTGAGATCATTTGAAGTAACTTTTTCCTTTGCGAAAGTGCAATCCGCTGCTTTNTTCTCACGTTACAACGTAACGCCAAGACGGATGCGCCCCTTCGTCCAGGACGCTGATTCCGGCTCGCGGAATGAAAATTCCACGACCCAGCCGCTCCGGATATACAGGGTGTTCCACAATTATTTTAACAGCCGAAAATGAGGGGTAACTGAGATCATTTGAAGTAACTTTTTCCTTTGCGAAAGTGCAATCCGCTGCTTTGTTTACGAGTTATTAACGAAAAACACTGACCAATGAGAGGCGATGGCACGAACCATAATGTGGTCGATCGATCGAGCGTCACGTGCTCCTACCAATGAGTTTGACAGCTGAAGGGGGACTCTGTGCCGCGTTTGGATCAATGTACAAGGCACGGAGCATGAACTTTTGATAATTTTTTACCACGTGATAGTGATAATTTTAAGAAAAATGCTGTCCATTCTTATTTCAAAATGTCTGAAGAATATTTACTAATTTTTCGGACCCGAAATAATATGCAGTTTAACCGTGACAGCCGTTTTAATTTTCTCGTATGCATGACACCTCATGTGTACCATATAAAATTTTTATGCAAGGTGTACAGTGAAGATTAACAAAGTTCGTAAATGATATTTTAATTTGAATAATTCCGTGTTCGAACAGAATTCAACGAATGATTCACAAAGTTGATTTAATAATAAATAACCGCGTTAAGGGACGTGAAGGATTTGTTCATTAGAGAAATATGAAAAATATTATCAATAAGAAACTCACTCATTTAGTTGAGGATGCATTTGTGTGCAATGAAGCCGGTATCGTTTCGTTTCGAAAGCCGTGATTTCCGCGTGTACGCGTTCGCGATCGCGGAAGCTAAGAGAATTCTTAAAGGATCAATTTCGAGTCGTTAGCGAACGTGGCTGGTGGNATTAACAAAGTTCACAAATGATATTTTAACTTAAATAATTCCGTGCCCGAACAGAATTCAACGAATGATTTGCAAAGCTGATTTAATAATAAATGATCGCGTTAAGAGACATAAAGGATTTTCATTAGAGAAATATGAAAAATATTATCAATAAGAAACTCACTCATTTAGTTGAGGATGCATTTGTGTGCAATGAAGCCGGTATCGTTTCGTTTCGAAAGCCGTGATTTCCGCGTGTACGCGTTCGCGATCGCGGAAGCTAAGAGAATTCTTAAAGGATCAATTTCGAGTCGTTAGCGAACGTGGCTGGTGGCTGACTATCGTGCGATTCGCGGCCTACCCGTAAAGAGAACGACAGCCAATCCTGGCCCTACCTAATAATTCACACACTCCGTTAAGGCAAATTACCTATTCTGCCTAACGCTATATTTAAAAAATAATAAAGCGATCACACCAACACATTCGCTCTATGGTTCTCACTTATACGTTAAGTTGCATCCAGGGACGCCTCCGACACCCTAACATAATCATTTATTCTCATCCTAAAGTACATGTTATTTTCTGAAATCGACTGACAATGGTAACGATCATTGCGATTTAATCGAATTCTAATTGAAAGTTACTTTCTCTCTAATTGACTAGTAACACTTGTTGTTCTAGAATAAATACCATTTCGATAGAGTTGAATTTTTCAAGACACTTGCAAGATTTTATTAAATCCATTCAACCGATTAGAATAGAAAATGAACGTTCTGTGCATACATATTCCATATAGATCCACGTTGCATGACATAGATCGTATAGAATATGTTCGATACGAGCTTGTTTTGATTTCAAAGAACCAAGTCAAAATTCACTGCCTGACCATACACACAAGTGGAAATTATCGCATCCTCCCGAGTAACGTACAAGATTCGAGCAACGAACATGGAATCTTGGATCTCCGAAAATCCTATCTACAAAGAGTCATTAATTCCTCGAGCTAAGATTCTTCAACTTCATTGAGAAATGAAATTAAAAAAAAAAATTAATAATAACTTAAAAATATGTTCAAATATGTTTAATAATTTCATAATAATAATTTCATAATTATAATTTTAAAGTGTGTTCAAATATGTTTAATAATAATTTCATAACAAGAAGAAACTCTATTTTTTACTTTTATCAAATATGTTTTACCTATCGCGAAAAGTTGTCTGCATGTGATCTTTAATGCAATTAAACGGAAGAAAGTTATTCAATACATTGGTACATTAAATGCACCAGTATAATTTTTGTAACATTCGTGTTATGATAATCGCGTGTTGTAAAAGATTAATTTTTCGACAATTTCGAAATAACATTATTAAAACTTGAAACAGTCGCAGGAAATTGCGATGTGCAGAAAGACAAATTACCACTCAAAAGATTGCCAAGCAATCAGGTCACTGTACTCATCAAAATCACCTGCAAAAAGATAGTACTCTGAATATTCACTCACTACTTGATGGGAAGAGGGAGCTGCGTAGAGTCCTGGAACAGAAAGAAAAGCAAAAAGATATTAAAATATGTCAAACATCGTTCATGAAATTATTCATTTCTACAAACTACTCCATGTAATTTGCATATTGATGAACATTATACTTGCAGTGACTCACGAACGCGTACAAGCGAAAACTAAAATAAGAGAAATGTGTACGTTAGACTTAAGTTTTGAAGATAATACTATAAATACTATCAGACACAAGTAGTAGGGTAGTATATGTAAAATTTTAAGTCAATTGAATTATATATGTAGAAGTTATGAAGTATTTGCTATATACAGATGTACTGTAAGGGGGTTAGAAAAGTGTTCGAACGCGTAGAGATCAACAGGAAAAACAATGTTTTCATTTAGAAAATATAAACATTGGTGGCCAAGTGCAAGAGAAGAAAAGATTATTCTTCGTGAAATAAAAAAGGATCCGAAAATTTCGGCACCAAAGCTTGCTTAACTGATTAATTTGCAACAACTGAAAAAATTTACATCCCGAATTATGTTACAGAATACTTCGAAAAAATAACTTTCATGGTAGAGTAGCAAGGAAAAAGCCATTCATTAGTAAAACCAATAAAGCTAAATGATTAAAATTTGCACAAGAATATGGAAGTAAGGATAATAATTTTTAGAACACAATCATTTTCTCTGATGAAAGTAAATTTAATGTACATTTGAGTCCGATAGTTACCGTTATAGTATGTGGAGAAAACCGAATAAGGAAATGGATATTTGTAATTTACGACCAGTAAAACATGGTGGTGGGTCGGTGATGGTTTAGGGGTGTATGGCAGCAAATGGTACCGGAAATCTTGTTTTCATAGATGGTACTTTAGACAAACATAAATCTTTACGTATTTTAAAAAGTAATATGAAAAGAAGTGCTTCCAAATTGGGTCTAATAGAAAATTTCTATTTCCGACAA